TCATTAATGTATAAATTGAAGAATGCCATCAAAGAAAAACGCCGAGGAAGTCTCTCACGAGGAGTGAGGTTATTGCACGACAATTCGCCGGTGCACACTTCTGTTGCTGCAAAGGCTGCTATTCAGCACTGTGGTTTCGAAGAACTAAATCACCCACCCTACAGCCCCGACCTAGCCCCTAGTGACTTTTTTATTTTCAAATTTGAAGTCTGATTTGCGTGGAAAAAAATTTGCCAGTGATGAAGAAGTGATATCTGCAGTCTTGAACCATTTTGAGGACAAAAATTCAGAATATTTTTTTAGTGGAATAGAAAAATTAATTCATCGTTCTAAAAAATGTATTGAAATAAAGGGAGATTATATTGAAAAATAAAAATGGTTGTTTAATTTTATCACATCTTTTATATCCTTGGGCCGGAAACTTTTGGACCTTACTACGTATCTATGCTAGCCTCCTCCAAAATGCAGCAAAAAAGAATAATAGTACCAACGAGAGTATGTCTGAGAATGCTAGGACTGACGTCGAATTGACGTCCAGCTAGATGTGGACAATCCTGTGGACATCAACTTTCACAGCGCCCTGGTGTAGATCCGAAAAGTGAAAGCACAGACCAGACGACTTGCGAGATGGATTTTAATTCTGTACCAATTCCAGTCCCGTCCGAAATAGGATAAGGGAAAAGGTAAACGAATTGATGTGATCTCCGATACGACCGCCGGAGGATGAGAATCCCGACGGAGAGGCTATCGTGAAATTAATTTCCCTCCCCATCCTCCCAGAGACCGATCCACAACTCATTATGCGACTTCCGAAGGCTACTCCCTTATCGACCTTCGAATCGAAGGAGATAATGCGATACATGAGGTGAGTGCGCGATGCTAACCTCATCCCAAGCGCAGATCCTCATGCAAAATGTTCATGCCCATTCCCGCACCAGTGCACGTTTAAGCATCCAGAAAACTGGATAAATTCCAGCAAATCTGCTTCGCTTCCAAGACCTATAAGATTACCTATCAGACTTGCGATATCTACAAGTGGATGAAAGCTCTAGTAAAACCAACCAGACCCCGCCGCCCTATGGAGCTGGGGACACAAGACATTACAAAAGTCTTGCTACAAGGGAATCTTTACATCCTACAGGCTGGGCAACCGTGGAAGGACATTCACTTAATAGGATACGGCTACAATATCCTTGGAAAAAAAAAGAGAATACGTCTATAATCGCGTTGCATTTATACCACGAACAATGCTTCCCACTCTGTACTCAAGCAACACCAAGCTAAATCTCCAATTCCAAAGTATCAATAGTATGAATTAGCTATAAAAAAAAGGACAAAACCTTTTCCTTGCAGCCTACTAATATCCACTCAGACCATAACTGAGGTACAAGTGAGCTAGCATGTGAAGTAGCGACGTCATGTGAGAATGGCACTCACCTACTCTTCTTCCCTATTCACGAGATCCTTGCATGTTCAGCTGACGATTGACCTACGATATATGTACAAGGCAGGCCTTAGCCCACCATTCTCCACCACATTATTGGTGTGACACTTCAGGACATATCGTTAAGGATGAATAACGAGTCTACCTGGAATTTTTTGATTCTGTGTTTCTGTACAGACTACCTACACAACTGAAATGGATTTCAGTTGACAATCTGTTCGGAATGTTTGTTCCACCGCTGTCCATTCACCATTGAGTACCAGCGTTAGAATAGTGATGAGCGAAGCAGCGGAACCGCAGGAACAGTCATGGATTCGTCAGAACACAAGCACGTTATTCTGGAACCGTAGACAGTGGGTTAAATTGACAAAAGCGGCGCCTAACTGAATTTTCATGGCGGATTGGGGCACCGCAAACAGAGGGGGACGTGACCCGATCAAAAAGTCCACATCATTCTTTGAGCAAGCTATCTCCTCCGAATGCAGCTCGCCACAAGGCTTTTGGGTGGGAATAAAATCCAATCTGTTGTATTGAACGACGAATTAATGACAGGTCTGCTTTCCATCGTTGATGGCAGCAAGCTGCAATTGTGATAACTGGCAACCATCTTGAGTAACGCCACAAGAGCTTTGAGTTTCTCCTGTAATGTGGCGGACATGAAGTTAAACTAAAAGCTTCTGAAAACCTTTCAGTTACTTCTCCATTTACGAGTTACGAATAACCTCAAGGAAGGCGAATAAGTACAAATACTTATCAAGGCTATGCAGGCATACCTTTTCATTCCTTTAATCTATGACGCGGTTATGAAAAACATACTAACGTACCCGCATCATCTCGTATCCTTCCGCCTAGCATAGGGTCAAAAAGGAGGCTGAGTTGTAGGTCACACGTGTCAAGCTAAAGGAGGACAATTCCAGGTCAGGCAGAGTTCTCTAATAGAGTTCTCTCGCCTGCCAGCAATCACACAGAGTATTCCTCTCGATAATATCCCTTTCCTTCCACTCCCAGGTATTATATGGTAAGATCTGCATGAATATTATCGTCTTCCGTTGTACGTATTTGCCACATACCTAAATTTCACAGATAGCAGATCGCAGACAGCTATTTGCGAACGTCCAAGAGAGACAGATGTCTACTCTTCCGACAACGACTCCATGTCAAACTTGCGGGGAAATGTATAAAAGGGCCTGACCAGAACATATGTGCGAGGGATGACGTGTGCCATGAAAGTTACATGGTGTCGACTCGTATCTCTTGCTTTGTACGCTATCTGGCGACAATCCCCTAGGCATTCGATGTAGATGAGTTATATGGTCATCAGACAGGTCCTATTTGGTGAGTGAGAATTAGGTGGTTAGGAAGGTCTAGATTGAGCAAGCAAGACTCGAAAACTGGACGGTCTGGTGGGAACGAATGGGATTGTGAGAGTCAAATGACCGTAAAAATATCGTCATGTCATGGGCAGCTCGAAGTCCCTGACCAAAGATTGAAGTTCAAGCAATCCATGTCACGTATCGTGAGTGGTGCAACTTCGCTGTGCATATTTCATGCGATTTCTATTGTCATAGGGTGGTTCGCAACAAGTACTGGGCAGAGAAAACAGCTGTTCGTTGGGAATTTATTTGTAGAAAATGTAACTTCCCCGCATCATGAAGTGAGTCAATTCCGAATTACTTTCCTAGCCATAACTTCTAAGAATCAAGTAAGTAAGCAATTAATAATTAAGAGACAGGGTATGTACTTCATGCGCAGTGATTCCCAAGTCAGTATATTCAGCAACAATGCTTGGCAGTAAGATGTTTCCCCTGTTGTGGAGATTCGTTCCCGAAGGGTTCCACTACCTCCCTAGGCAAATCAAAGGAAGGGGCCAATTCTCTGGGATCATTAACCGGGATATGTAATGAATTCACTCCAATCCGAGCATGCATCAGGGAAGGACAACTCTTTCCATGAATAATGACCTAAAAATGTAACAAAGGGAAGAAGCTCAACGGCTGGAAAGGAGAACTGCAGATGAAAGGTAAAATGTTGGCCCTTGACTCAGAGCTTGTCTGTCTCAAGCCTATGGTCCGTGGGCTGTAATCTTGCCTACGCCTAAGTCTCGGGGAAATGGCCCTGGGCTGTGGCTTAGGGGTCAGGCTCTGGAATCTGTTCAGGGGAGGTCGTTCGCACCCACTTTTCCGTATTCATATGAAATAAGTAAGTAGTGAGTTTTATTGAAGAACCTGACGTTTTTGCTCAGCATATAAGCCAGATATTCTTTATTGCTCAAAATCTTATGAAGAAGATCGTTGCTGAAATTGAAATCATCCCTCAAATCGCAGTTTGCAAATATCTATTTAGCTGCGATTTTATTACATTTTTTACTATATGGGAGGGGATGTTCAGTATTTGAAAGAAGTCCCTACATAGGTACTGGTATATATCTGCGAATTGGAAATACTTAAGTTTAAATAAAAGTAATGTGCATGAGGAAAAGGTGGTTGAGTTCGTTATTCAACTTCCATATATTTCGGATATATATTTTTAGTGTCGAGACAGATCCTGTCATTGTTGATGGCCAGGAGATCATCTATGTGGCACAATATGAAGGCATAATTCTCTGAGGAAGGACGTTCCAAAATACATTTTAATAAATAGAAAAACAAGGTAAGGTTTGCCATGCTCGTCCATTGGGATTCTGACAACTTGCTGAATAAGTCGATTTTCAACTTGGATATAATTGCATTCTAAGTTTGTCTTGAACACTTGAAGAACCTCTCTTTGAGGATTTCACCTTTCTTTCCAAAGTTGCAGCCAAAAGGCAGAAACCTATCGAAGAGAGCAGCGATGTAATGGTGGAGTCGGTCTAGAGGTATTTTTGTATATAGTGTGATGAAATCCATGATTGATAGAGTTGGCTGTTTTCACTATGTTGATATATTTTTTACAGCTTTCAGTACACATTTATTACTTTTTATTATCCAATTTTCAATGAAGTTCTGAGAGGAATATTCAAGCTCATTCATGAGTTGATTTAATACCTCCTTAACTCGAATTGAGAGATTTCTGATGCATGTGTTGACTGAGCTGGTGATGAATCGAAATGTTTTTGGATTTGCAGAGGAAAGGTATTTTTGTACTTTTCGAATCCATTTTTGTTCCATATTCGTAACAGGCATTAAGAACATTCTTTTCTGCTTTTTCAGAACTTTTCACTTGCTCCTGAAATGTTGGACTGTTCAAAATAGCTGAACTGACTTTTGTGACTCTGTCATGTGCTAAGCGGTTCAATTGGCACTAGAATGTACAGAACAATCTTTAGGAAAAAGGAATTATCGTATCACAATTAAATGAAAGATCGATACCAAAGAATCATGCTCAAGGAGATATGATAATATTTCGTTGTTCAGTAAAAAAAAGGAGGAACTTGTTCATGGAGAAAGGTAAACACAAATTGATTTAAGAACAGATGAGACAATCAAAGTACCTATCAACAAATCTCCAAATTGCAAATTAAAATATGGAAACGTTTACTGCAAAAAGCGAAGCCAAGTTGTGATTTCTCCAATGGGGATCACCTAGTGGCCCTCCCATCATCACTTTTCTTCTTGCAGAGGAGGTTGATTATTTCGTCTGCCTCAAGCTTCATGCCTTGCTTGAGCAACGCATCGTAGAGGGCTCTGAAAGTGGAGGGTTCCTGCACCGAAGACGCCTTCCTCCATTGGGCCAGAAGGAGATAGACTGTCCTCAGCGGGCCCTTATTCATTTCCCTGATCCGTCGAAGCTGCTCCTCAGCGATGCCCAACTCCCTCCCCAGATCTTCCCATTCGTCCGATATTCCTTGCAGCTTTCCTGCTATCTCCCAAATATTCTCATCCGATGGCAACCTGGATGGAGTTTAGAACGCAAATTATAGCTAAATCAATGGAAGTGACTGTTGTGACGAAATGATTGAGATGGCGAGGAAAGAGACCGGAAGTCATTGAGCTAGAACCTCAAATGAACAACTTTTCTCATCAATTTCGGCGACGAGGAATGGTGTAATATTAACAATAGCAGTCAGCAGATCGTATTAATAATCATGTAATGCGATCAATAAATACTAATAACAACTTTGGGGACACTCCTACAATACAATGTCATTCAGATTCATGCCTTTTTATCATTTTCAAAATTATTTCACTTCTCACTACCTATTTCTTTGACTAATATCTCGCGTTTGATCATTTTCATATACTCATACTACATAAATGAATTGGAAACATTGAGGCAATTGTGACGTACTCATCCAGCAGCGGAGTAGCAGTAGCTTTTCTCTTAGCGATGACGTAAAAGGCGATTCTGTCCGCCTCAGTCTTCATGGCTTGCTCGCGCAGTGCATTACAGAGCGCTCCGAACGTGGATCGCTGAGATGACGAATCCTTCCACTTTTGCAGAAGAAGGTATGTCGTCCTCAAGGGATTCTTCTTCTTTTCTTCGATCTTTCGAAGCTCTCCCTCCCCGACTCCCAACTCTCTCCCCAATTCCTTCCATTCGCCAGCCTTCTCTTTTAGCATGTTAGCTATCTCCCAATTGTCGTCGTCAGATGGTGCTCTATAGAATGTCAGATTACACGTTAGTGAAAATCTAAGGCTATCTAGACAGACAAATGATGTAGTTTATATATCCCTGAGCACCCCCTAAAAAAATCCGGTTTTGTGATTTCATATTACTTCTTAACAATTCCAGCAAGGCAAAGGTGTAAACCCCAAGTATAATTAGGAGCAATACCAAATCTAGGACAGAAGTAGTCATTGCTTTTGTTTTCCCTCAAATATACGATAAGAAAAGCAGTAAGATTAATTTTAAGCTAAACTTTATTTTTTTTTACTAGATGAGCAATTATTATCCATTTTCAAAATTTATTAAATGATGTTAAGTAAATACGCAACATCAAGTAACACGTGAAATTTTCAAGAATTTCAAGAAATAATTACCACAAATGACCTTACAGACCATGGATATTCCTATGGATCTCATGCCAATCTCAACAATGATGAAGGTCGCATATCTAAAACGAGTAAAATGGATTTTCTAGGATTTCAACGACAGAAACATCAAGACACTCGTTAGAAAGGACTGTTATCGATGTGTCATTAACTACTCATCATAATTTGAGTAGACCACCAATACTCAATGCTATGTTTCCAATCAAGCTCCCTGAATAATATTTACATTGAAGCCTAAAAACAGTGTTATTCATGATTGGATATCCTTATTCTTTTTATCCCTGAAATGACTGACTTATAATAAATAAATGCGCCTCGTACGCAAGGGAACTCACTCGCTCATTAGCGCAGCTTCTTCATCCCGAGTCTCCCTTTCGATGCCTTCCCCTATTCAAAAATTAAATCAAGAAAATATTTCAGCTTTGCAGCGGCTCATGAAATGAATTTCTACTGACGGAAAATGCACTGACCTTGAGACTTGAGTTCCTGAAACAGGAAGTCCTGTCCAACCGCTTGCAGTGCCTTCAAGAACTCCCCAAAAGTCTTTGAATCGTCTCTAGTTGTTAGTTTTGCCAAAAGGGCAATTCTTCTTTCCTTCTCTCTTCGCGGAGTCATGATCTCGTCTCGATCCCCTTGCGAGAGTACTCCTGACTTCAGGAGGCGATTAGCAATTTCGTCGACTTTCAGACAGTCGATGAGAGTGCCCCACTTTGCCTGGATGATGTCAGGGATTGACCTCGGCGGTTCGCATTGCACTGCCATGATTCATGGGAGAGATGATACTAAACTATAAATATACAAAAAACAAAGCGTACATCCTGCGACATCATATTAAAACGTACCTGCACCACTTTCCAACCTGTCGATAAGATCATCCCTTTCCATGGCTTCGAGAACCTTTATCAGCCTTTTATAAGTCGGTACTGGATCTTTATTAAAGAGGATGGAGAAGATGTGATTCATCTTGTCCGAGTAGCTCTCCTTCTTGTTGATGTCTGTTTCCTCGCTGATGGAGATAAGGTCTTCTCCACTGAGTTGGAGAATAAAATCGCTAATGCTTATGATCGTGTTTCTCTCATGAAGAATGGCTCTCAGTCGTTTGATCTGTTCCACCGACTGTATGGAAGCACTACAAATAGATAATAAAAAGTCATGTCGGGAGGAAATGAAATGGCATTATTTAATTATTTCTTACATTTAGGTTCGGCGAGGACATAGCGAAGACATGTCAAGATGACACGTGGGCAACCATAAATATGGTGTCAGCCCATCCCAAACGTATCATATTTGAATTCCTGGCGGATTATTATTACATGCTTGAAATTATTGAGGAAATTACTTTGGATGGGAATTTTCAAGTAAAACCTCCACAAGACTCTACCTATATAGTCTCTACCTCGCGAACAATTATCATGCGTAAAAAGAATTATAATTGTCGACTGACACTATTTGCTACATCTCCATGCTTGACTTACTGGAATTCTTTTCGCTTCCTTTTGATTGTATGAAGTAAACTTTCTCCTAGGTAGGCACACTTCAAATTGGATTTTGTCATGGGGTCTTTAAAGGAGAGGCAATTTTATGAACCGCTACATTACGAGGGTCGCCTTGCATGTGATTTCAACTAGAACACCAAAACATACTGTACACATGTATTGGGTGAAATGTTCGGTGGTTTATATGCAAGTGATGCTCCTAAATGCAAGGATTACTTTTTTCCCTTGAACTGCAACAAAACCTAGCACAATCTGGGACTTTCATCTTGCTTCATACATCAGATCTACTGGCAATAGGAAACCTAATGGTCCCTCATTAAATTGTAATGTCATTGACTCTGGATATGCATGCCACTTTTCTATGATCAAGTTTTGACTGACGCTTACAAATAAAATATGCAATGTTGTGTCAATGTATCGCTACTGGGAACCCTGGCTCCATGTTAACAAAAAAGAGAGCTGTCTTTGTTCATACAGACCCCTGCCGGAAGAATGGCAGCTGTGAACTTACGATGCAGTGCTTCCACTATGTGCTCCAGGAGTTACGTCAATTAGACGAGTCATCTCCTTTCGTCCCGCATCTCCTTGTCCTTCCCTTGAGCTTGCCCCATGTCTCTCACTCCTCGTTCTTTCCCACTCTGTAATGGAACGGCAATTTAAGATTAATGCGTACACAATTACTGCTGAAATATCATACATTTCCCGCGAGATTCATATGTACACCTCCTCTCCTTGCGCTGTTCTTGTTTTGCCATTCTCACTAAATTGTAATAATTCCGTCTTCGTGTAATAATTTCGCTCTTCTGAAATTCATAAGGAAAAACTGCTACAACCTGCAACTGTGCGTCTGAGCACATTCCTAATCCTTCTTACCACAAACCTGTCTGTCAGTTAGTCAGAATTTACATTTGATGAGATATACACCTTTCGGGCAACAGTGTTCTTCACGACTTACCTTTATTAAGACAGTCGGCAAGGATGACGTGGCCATTCTTGTGAAGGACTTGAATGAAAGTTGGAAATGCATTGTCTCCTCTCATAGGCAATACTTTTTGGAGGAACAAAACTTTTTCCCTCTTGGTCTTGTTCAAGACATCAAAATATTCGTGGTGTTGAACAATGCCCTGGACCCTCAAGTCAAGCAAGACGGCATCTTCGTTGATGAAATCCAAGTCTTCCGTGTGGCGAGCAAGGATGTCAGCAGCCGCGTTCATGGCTGTTGTCGGAAGCTAGGGGCTGGAGAGAGATGAGATCAATGATATATTGTCGTAATTACCTTTATTGTTCCTGAGTTGTCATTGCCTTTCATTTTATGCAACATTTTGGATGAAAAATGTGTTACTAGTCAGGTTCTTAATTCGGACAAAAAACAGTCACTGCGTGAATGAGCGCGTTTCACAATGGCAGAGGTAGTTATTTAAAAATGCTGTTCAGTTTTATCACAGAGATTGGGATTCCCTGATGCCTATTGGTCATGGCAAAACTTATAGTTTGTAAACCAAAAATAAAAACGTCACATCCACAGTATGTTCATAATGTCGTTACTGCTACATCTTTCCCCTCGCACTATTTTACTAGGATTTCAATGCTAAATGAGGGATTATCATAACTTACAAGTCAATACGTCATCTCACACCGCCAACTTCATGGGCACGATTACGTCTGCCGTTGTCTCGTGGGGTGTTTCCTTTCCAACTTCCGCAACTAAAAATGGAGATAAAAACGACACGAATACAGGAGGCTTAATATGAACTTCACGGGCGGGGCACCCGAGTTGCGCTGGTGGTTCTTCATAATCTATATGAGCACGAACAGGACTGATCCGAAGAGTAGTCGATAAGCCAACGAGTTTCTTCAACGGCCTCCTTATCTATGAGCAGTCTTATCTGGTTGACACGGGCTGTGTACAGGGTGCTTAAAAAAAATGCACAATTCGTTATTTATAGGAATAATAGTCAATAGCCACGGATGGTCGTAGGTCGTTGATCCGGTCTTTGCTTCTCTTGCTTGCTATGGGGCCTGCGATGTCACACTCCCTCCCGGGGCGCAACTCACTGGTGTACTTCACTTATTCATGACGTTTCATCCTTAATTAATTGCTTTGAATCAATTGTTCAGCAGTTCTGAAGCTCTGTTGTTACGCTTCTTGCTGGCTCGGCCTAAACTATTAGTCTATCTGCACAAGACCTCATTTGTGTCAATTTACATAATATATACGTATTCACGAGGTGCTTCCGGGCCAACACTGGGCAGTTTTATGAGCTAATACAGCACCCATGATATTATTTACAGGTCCATTCGGTTGGGCATGACTGAAACTGCGTGGTGCCCCTCCGAGAAACAGTTCATCCGGTCCGGTTCATCCAGTCCGGTGTAAATGGTGGTTTCTTTCCTTCTCCGCCGCGTATATGTACAACGCGCCTGATTTCCGTCCGCGTGACAACTCATTGGGACATCCATCGCGCGTCAAGGTCAGAGAGCAACGCACTGGGAATGGGAAGATTTAATCTCCTTCACAACTGCGATTCCTAGAGTTCCCGCTTCTTTCTTCCTTTTTAGTCGGCCTCCTTTCCTGAGTGGAAAGAGACCACTTGTAGTCCTCTCCTGTCCGTCCGTGTGTCAGTCTGTCCGTGTATCACACTTTGGTTGTCCGACGATAACTAAAACAATATTGGTCTGATTAATCGGAGAAGTGGCGAGCTGTAAAATATGTAAAAGAAACAGACCGAGTTCGTTTTGTGGCGAATTTGCACCAAAATTGGCATTTTTATTGCAAATTTTGGATTTGAAAGTTGGTCACGCAGGGGAAGGCATGAGTTCGTCCTTCAGGTTCTGGACCACAATGCGTATGCGCGTACGACCCAGGCTTTCGGCGCGGCGCCGTGTCAGCAACCTGGGCTGTCAGTTCCCTACCAACCTTCGTGGCGGATGGACCCATCCACGCACAGCCCTCCATCCTCCCATCATCTTTTCATGGACACTGTTTACCGAATATAAATGAGGTTTTTGATGGGCGAAGACCGGAAAGAAATGGCTATTTTGTTCACTTAGATAACTAAACGGAGGCCCAATACTGGACTGGGCTTGCCCATCTTGTTTTCTTCTCGGTGGCAGAGGGGAACGGAATTCCTAGCTGGCGGAAGAGAACATTGGGTACCTCGCATTCTGCAGGAGACTGTCAAATATTGAAAGTTGAGAACGACGCCATGATGTACAGTTTTCACCGAATACGTGGGTTGTTCCGAAAGTCGAGGGAAAGTTATATTTGTCATAGTGCCAAAGGCTGACTTTTTATTGCCTTTTTCCTATAGGGTTTCAGAAGTTCCAGCATTTATTGCCTAGCACGAGTGCCCGATTTTTTCGAAAAAGTTCATCTCATCGAGGTCCACCAACCGTGCCAGTGAGATAAAGAGTCTCGCCAGAACAACGAAGACTAAACCAGAAGGAAGTAAGAAAACCTGATTCGAGTACAGTGCGCATGCCTGAAAAGGCGATAGCACAGCTAACAGACGCAATGGCCTGGGCGGGGAGCGGGACATCCCTGTTCCAGAGTGCCCACGTAGAATGTAACCTTTACACCAACACATTAATATTACACACTCAACTATCTTAGCTGAAACATATATCACTGTTCCCAACTTATACGGTATTTTTTCCGATACATCTCTTGGACCAATCTACGGGTCATCTACTTCGGAAGTGATCTCAACCCGGAATTCTGTTAAAATGTTGTCACCCGCGAAGCGGGTGTGGTCTAGGGACTATTCATGAGTTTAAAATGCCGTAAAACAAAAGCAAAGACAATTACCATTAAAAACTAATCCATCCCCATTATAGCGAATTTGCAAGTGCCTATATTATATTATCGAGAAAGGTGTGTCCTTTCAAGCGGAGGAACAACCCTCCCTACATCATAAAAAATCTATGTGCAATTCCACGCGTCCGACGCAATGCCTCTCCCATCCCCGACTCTACCCAAGTTATCAACTATTAAATTGATTGATGGCAATCTTAAATATCAATATAAAGCATTTACTTTTTTTACGACATCCTAGACCTTTGCAAGGCTATCGGATTAGAATTCCGCAGCATGATATGGGCAAAAAAATAAGGTAAAAGGTTGAGCTCCACCATTTTCGAATATAGAGCAACTGCCTTTATATGCAGAGAAATCCAATTACGAAATCACAGTGAACGAACATTTCATGCACTGCACCGTTCTCGATATATTTAGATGCTAATATTAACATCAGGGCTGTAAATGGCGATGCCCAATTCAATTCCGATATATTTGATCTCATTGACTTAGTCCTGCACCACTTCCGGAGAAGCGTGATTATGTGAATACCTATTTGCGGTAAGCAATGTGCGGATGATGGGAACTTTGGACGTGGAAGAGAAACGAAAACCAATTTTGACGAAATGCTCTTCAATCGCTCGGAAGACAACGCATCCAAAGTGAGCTGCACACGAACGGGTAGACAAAGCAACAGGAATGCAATACGAGGGGACCGACGCGGGCATTGGGCAGCTTCGCCACTGGATGCCATGGAGACCGACTGGGCATTGAGCAGCTTCGCCACTGGATGCCATGGAAACCGACTGGGCAGGACGGTAAACATTGTTTACTCATCGACCGTCCCTTTTCATACTCCTTCCGTCGGGGATTCCCTTGCCATATAGCTTCCTCCATCCATTTCTGAGCATTGCCCCTCTCCCCCGGGTACAAGATGTATTCAACTCCTTGAAAGGAATGTACTCACCCTGCTCGTGTTATTCGTCACAATCTCAGACATTTTGTGGGCTGGACTCAACATACCTAATATACAGTATTCAAACTGGCAAACCAGGCAACTGTTAAGAGTGAACAAGTTTTTTGATGAAATAATAAAAACAAAGTCGCCTCGGAGCGAGATGTAAGACTGGGGCTGACATAAACCGGTTTATGAGGCCCTAATGACTTCTTCCCGACTGGACGACCTTGCGAGGCGACACATTCTATGCATTCCCTCTGGTTCATACCCTCTCTGCTCATACCCTCGTTTCATCTCGCCCAAAATGTTGAGCTTCCCCCGTAAATCGATGGCAAGTTCGGCGGGCAAACCGCATCAGAGTAAGAGCATCGCACCAAAATTGACCCATGTGGGTCAATTCCGCCGCCGCCTCTCCCCAATGAGGCTCTTCACCCCGGTTCGCAGGAAAATGCTTATTCATATACCTCTGCCTATTCCGAATCATTGTGGCGTGCAAAAACCAATACGGGACGATAGGCTTCAATTTCTCAACATAAAGAGTGAACGTTTCAAGTGTTACTTTCTAAAAGAATTGTCAAGAACGTATCACCAGCTGTGGGGGGGCTAATGTTTTCTCCTCCTGAAACTGGAAACCATCTACTTAGGAATTTGTCCAATGGGAAGAGAAAAAAATATCCGATAATGATCGTGGCACGAACCACAACGCAATTCCTTCGTTCGTGGCCGCGTTTACGGTCACTTCGATATTTCATCAATTCTAGTAATCCTTTCGCGAATCTTCATGGAAGGAACGGTCAAAGGGCAGGTTTACAGGTAAGGTATTCTCCCACGAAAAGGGAAAAATTAATTTTTTTCTTGAAAGTATACACACAAGCATTTGATGAAATTGTATAGGGAAAATGAAAAATCATCGCGCGTATGCAAAATTGTCGAGTTACAGTAAATATTGAATTTCTCAACAAAAAAAAACTAGTGGCAGAACTCAATGGGAATTGGCGAAATAAAATTCTAAGGTCACCACTACCTTGTGTTAAAACATGATAGAAATAGGTTTTTTGAAAAAATTACATGTGCCATAGCCGAACGAAACTGTATATGCTGTACTTTAATGGGCCACCCTGCAGTTGAACCTTGTTTCGTGCAAGTATTGTAGCGAATTACGGTTGAATAACGAAGATGATGCTTTATTCGAGGATCTCCCTCCAGCGAATGCGCTCGAACCGCTAACGAGGCGCAAGGGACTCTTGCAGTAACGGTTGGTGTCTGTTTCGGCTTTTGCGAGACCGTGCGCACCGGTGCCGGCGCGTATTCCCGCGGAGTCCCCTGCGTTTTCTGCAGGCACGCCCTTCTTCGCCATATTTACGGCATGTCTTAAGGAATGATGTCGTGCAGAGTCGTTGTCCCGGTCGTTGACTTTATGAGGACATTGGAGCTGAAATGATATATTCCAATCATTTCGACCTGCGATTTGTCCTCTTTTCCTCGGCTCCGCATTTCTTCTTTGCAAAGTTAAGCTTGCATAACGCGTTCACTTCGCCGCTTTTACATAGGTTTTAAAACCTTAATCTTGTATGCGAAAGCCTATCATTATATAGGAACGCTTGAAATAGGCAAGGGGCTTCACACTAGGGAAAAATGCTTGTTCGTGTCTCCACATGAACGTTGAGCCTCTACTTTTTTTTTAAATCCGAGATTGGGGGGCATGACTTACGCTTGAACATCGGAACCCAAGTAGCATGCATATAAACATAAACATTTGATTTCGGTCGCCCAGTCATAATTAAAATCGGAACACATCCGTCCTTGAAATTCTCCGCCGGCGCCAGAGCACGCGCTGCTTAGCGGTTCCTCCCCCTCCCCCCATCCTCCCCCCATGAGCATTAACCCTGGGCAGACGCACGGATCCACCGTGACAGTTGGTGCCGCGTTCCGCTCGGCTTCGATCGATGTGCCGATATTAATGTTGTCACCAGGTCATTTAGAATTTAATTAGGCCAACCTAGTTTTTGCGTACTCTCGCGGAAATATATCTACCACTTACTTGGTGAAAATGC